AGAGAGAGAGAGCGAGAGCGAGAGCGAGAGAGAGAGAGAGAGAGAGCGAAAGAGATGTGGCCCTTACGTCTTGATTGCGTGCCAGCAGGTGCTTCTGTTCCACCTCATTCTCGAGTCTCTTCTGGAGCTGAGTGATCTCTCGCTCCTGCTTCTCAATCTGAGCAGTCAGCCGCTGTCTGGTATCCGTCTCGGAGTGCTCCAGAGTTGCCTGGAAAATTCATTTACAGAATATATATATATTTTTTCAAAATATCCTTTGTGAGGCTTAGATTGTTTATTTCGTAAAAACACTTGTCACCTGTATTGATTTGAGGTTGGTCAGCAACATGTTCTGGCCAAGCTGTTGGGCCTGGAAGGACTCTTTCTCTTGTGTCAGTCTGATCTCCACCATCTTCAACATGTCTCTCTCTTTACGCAGGTTCTCTGCTTCAGACTGAAAGCGAGACAGATGATTAATTCAATTTAGACTCAACTAACAGTGGTCAGAGACATCTGCGCTTGAGTGAATGAACCAATAAGAAACCTCAACTGTTGAGAGTTTCTCAGCTGCTGCTCGCAGGTCCTGGGTGAGGGTGTGTATGGTCTGTTCACTCTGCTGAATTGCTGCAGCCCGTTTCTGAGTCTTCTCATTCAGAGAGGCAATCTCCTTACGGTATCCCTCCACGTTATCCTGGAGCATCTCATACCTGACATGCACACCATGTAAAGTAAATTAAGGATTCTATATTTGAGAAAAACCATGAGAAACAAGGGAACTGAATGACTGGATACCGCTTGGAGGTGAACTCCAGCTGTGTGGAGATCTTGGTGTTTTCAGAACGCAGTTCGGTCACTTGATCCTGCAGTTTGTCGCTTTGCCCAGTCAGGACTTTTTCAGACTCAGTTTTTTCCTTTTTATAGGCCACAAAGACTTCCTGAAGCTGATCAAACACAGAAATAATAAATTGTAAAAAAAATTACAATTTTAAAATATACATTCATATAGACAACAGTAATTTAAAAAAATTGCAGAAATCTTTCACAATATTACTGTTTTTACAGTATTGAGCAAATGTATGCAGCCTTGGCAAACAAAGAAACTTCTTTCATAAACATTTTTTAAAAATCTAACCAATCCTAAACTTTTGAACAATAGTTTATGCTCAATGTTATTAATAGTCTCAATGTCAGTGATGGAAAAAATGCTATGGTGGACAGCCTGCTCTGCCCAGCCTACCTGCTTCAGAGCAGCCTTGGCCTCTACCGACTCGGTGGACTCTATTGCCGTGGCAACCAGTACTGTAGGGGTGCCTGCAGTGGGTGTGACGGCTGGAGAACAGCGGGGGGTTGAGGTCAGCATAAGCTCCTCATTACCAGCACCTGTCACAATAAAAGTTTATAAAACTTTATTCAATCATCATCATGAAACTTTTCTACTGTCTCATACAATCTTGAATATTCACAATAATTGCACTGGCAAAACAAACTAGACTAACAGACTAATAATAATTACCCTGTGGGAAGGTGAATCCAGTGGCCTGGGTCAGAAGCATGCGGAACATATCCCTTTGTCGTGCCACAGCGTCAACCTTCTGCAGATCCTGAGCTCTCTTTTCCTTCAGCTGCTCCAACTCACACTGAAGCTCCTCAAGATATTTCTCCACCTCACTGCGTCTGAACACACAATGAGAATTATGCTTTCTAAATCGATATTTAATCTGATATTAGATTGACAGATCCACTTAAATCTTACACACAGACATACTTACTTCATGGTGTCTCCCTCCAACTCAACCTTTTCCTTTTCCTCACTGAGGTCTCTTAGTGCCACTAGGAGTCGCTGGTTCTGCTGCTGCAGCTCTTCAACGCTGCGGAAGGTGACCAGGTGCTGAGAAATCACCTCTGAAGTGCTGCTCACATCCGCTGAACACACCTCATCCTCCTCACGCATCACATGGTTACCACGTGCTTCCTCCAGCTCAATGAGGAGGACCCGCACCTGAGATAGTTATGTTAAAAGAACAGGATTTTAGAATATTTTTTCTCTCTCGTAAGAGACTGAAGCCTCAGTTGTAACATCAGGCCTCACCTGTTGAGACATGTCAGCCAGCTGCACCTCAAACCTCTGGTTATCTCTCTCCAACACAGATGAACGTTTGTTGCTTTCATCTGCTTCTTTCTGCAAGCGGTGGACCTCCTGAAAAATCCAGGAATAATAATTTTTAGATTTGTTATGCAAGTAGCCATTAGGCAGCATGCACTGGCAGTGTGGCATGCAATAAGGCTTCGTATTTCTGCAAGACTCTTCGGTCCTCACCGTGACAGCTTGCTCTAATTTAGCAGAGAGACTGGAAACAGACTTTTGCATGCGCTCATACTCCTCTCTCTGTCTCTTCAGGATGGGCGCCTTTGCTTCCATCTCCTGCACAATGTCATCCAGGTACTTGTGCAGTCGTTTGTTCTCTAGTTTCTCACGTTGTAGCTGTTCTTGGGTCTCAACATAAGCTGTATAAATCTACACAAAATAGAAGGTGGTATATTAAAACTGAAAAAGCTTCTGTGAAGAAAACTTGAACTCGCATCATATGACCCCTTTAAGAGATTAATGCCTGAGCTGTTCCATCAGGCCTCACCTGTTGAGCCATGTCAGCCAGCTGCACCTCAAACCTCTGGTTATCTCTCTCCAACACAGATGCACGTTTGTTGCCTTCATCTGCTTCTTTCTGCAAGCGGTGGACCTCCTGAAAGATCCAAGTAGGGCTGAACGATTAATTACATTTGCGATAATATCGCGATATGAGAAAACGCGATTTTTCAATCGCAGAGGCTGCGATTACACTCGGTCACGTGACACGCGAGAGTAAAGAGGTGTGTTCAACTTGAAGATC